AGGAAGAAAAGGGCTGACGAGTATTGTAATTAAAGGGAAGAGACTGAGTAGAGGTGTAAGTGCAGAGTCTGTCAAGGGAATGAGAAGGAGAGTTTCCTGTGATCAGGCCAGAAGATGCAGTAGGGGAAATGATCCTAATGTGCCTGCTGAGATCAGATCTCAGAAGCCTTGGATGCTAGAGTATGGGCTTTTCCTGCTGGTGTTCACGGGACAACATTCTTGCTTCTCTGTATCTCCAGAATTCTGTGATCCTGTAATTCTAATGTGAGGAGTTATAAGGTCTTTACATAGAGAGGGTGAATTACTTATAAATGCAACTGCCTTTAGTGTGCAGCAGTTTTTTTCTTCTCAATTAGTTAAAGCCTTCTTATTGTCAGTTGCACCAAAAAAAAGTCTTCCTTCCCTTCCTTTCTCTCAGTAGACAGTTTTGCCTACTGGTGCCTGAACTCCTCAACACCTTTTGGATGATCCAAAATTCTCTATCAAAGGAGATAGATCATCAGTTATATGCAATATTGTAAAGTGATGAACATTTATAAGACTGGTTAATTTATTCTGCAGGTATAAATCCAACTTGTGTTGTGAAAGGAAAAGTGCCAAAATGGAGATTTTGGATACAGGGTCTAGTGCTGCCTGTTTAATGTACTTAATATTTCTGGATCTCATATTTTCTCTATTTACAAAATGTACAAATTATACTTTTACATCTAGCAATTGCTATAAAGTGTTCTTATTGTTTCTCCTAATGAGTCTAGTGTTGAATAATAATGTTATTTGAGCCATATACTAGATCTCATAAGGACACATTGTCATGACACTAATCAATTAAATGTTTATTGGACAACTTCTAAGGCATATTACATATACAGAGACTACAAGGAGAAGATGAAACAGCCTTGGTATGTTTCAAGGAGGTCCCAAGCTACCTTGGCCAGTCAGAAATGTAAACTGGGAAATACTGTATGTTGAGATATGTGCAGATATAGATATTCTCTGAGTGCTATGATGGTACTGTCTTATTCATCTCTTTTCATTTCCAACACATAGGAAGTATCTAGTTTTTAGTAGGCACTCAATGAAAATCACTGAATAATAAAATACATTACATGAAGTACTTCATTATATTTTAAATGATAATCTTTAGAAAATCAAAATACACAAAAGCAGCAAATTAAATCTCATTAAACAGTGCAACAATTATGTTTGATCAAAATAATACAATACTGTTTTTTGTTTTTTTTTAAAAAAAGCACACCTAAGCACTGGGTTGAGGTAAGTTAGATCAGTACATACCTTGCCAGTGATTCTTTTTTATGGAATATTGAAATGCCTGAATACTTAGGTTAATTTTTTCAGGATGAGAGAGTGGCTACTAAAACTATTACCACTTTACCTACTTAAATTAAGAGTTTTATGTGTAGTAATTTAATCTGGCTTTTGATACTGGAGCCCTGTGTAAATTTAATTTTTTCAATTTAATTTTTTTCAATTTACCCTCTCGCTTGAATCAAAATATTCTATGCCTTGACAAGTTTTGAACAATTAAATATTTTCAGACCTCCACTTTGGACAAGGCACTGTATCAAGTTCCAGTGTGAGAGCTGGCGTTAAGGTAGGGATGGGGGAAGGATGGTGCATAACAAGGAGAACTGGGGTACAAGCAGAATCAACATCTAAATAAAAAAAATTGACTGCAGACTGACCTCATGTGTCCACTTTCTTTATTCACACCAAATCCTAGGAATGATAAAAAAGATATTCTAAATAAATCTAAAGCAGTGTTATAAGATAATGCCATCGATCCATTAGATATTCTGAATATCCACTGAAAGACTGAAAACAATTTGGCTTAGATTGATGGAGAACATGTAGACATTAGAAAGCATCTGTGAATGGTAGGAGCTATGCCAGAAGTGTTGCTGTACATGCAGGAGAAGCAAATGCAGTGAGTGGGGGGACCCTAGAACAACAGTGGGATTTGCTTTTTCTGGTATTGAATCATGCCAAGCTGCAGAAGCCACATATGTGTCCCTAGACAAGAGCAGAGAGAGGAGAGGCAGAGGTTTCTTGGCATGTTGGGACACCCAGGGGATAGAGTGGGTGATGAGCTATTGGCTCCTTTGCACCCAATAGAAGGTCGCATCTGTCTCCAGATAACTGAAGGGGAGCTGAGTAAACCGAACTAGTCACAACAGATAGGTGAGCAGGGAATAACTGAAGGGGAGCTGAGTAAACCGAACTAGTCACAACAGATAGGTGAGCAGGGAATAACTGAAGGGGAGCTGAGTAAACCGAACTAGTCACAACAGATAGGTG